CCCGAATAACCCGACCGGAATAACCCGAATAACCCGACCCGACCCGAATGCCCACCCCTATTGAAGATGAATCGTTGGTTATTGTTTCTTTTTTTTTTGGTTTTTTTTTTCATTTGGCGAGGAGCAGATTTGAAGGAGAGGGGAAGAAGATGACGAAGTTTTGATAAATTATGAAAATTGCATTTTGGTTCTATGTAATTTAGAGAGAGGACTTTTCTGAAATTAGTAGGGATTGAATTGAAAATTTTGAAAACTTCATTTTGAGCTTATGAAAAATATTTTGGATAAATTTATAAATTTCGAAAATTGATTTAAAGGGTATTTAGGTCTTTCTAGTTCCAAAATACGAGGCCCAGTCGCACAAAGCACGAGTGTATAACACATCGAGCTCGTATTGTCATTTTTGGCTTTCACTATTTTTCACGAGGGGTATTGTGCTAATATTTTTAACATGAGGGCTTTTCAGCTATTTGAGATTACACAGGGGTGGTTTTTACAAAAAACCTATATCAATGTATATATATTATACTCCCTCTGTTCCACAATAACTGTCTCTTTTTTAAAATATTTTTGTTCCATATTATCTGTCACTTTAAATTTCTAATACTGCATTAAATTCATTTTTTCATGTGTTTTAACCTTATTAATTCAACTATAAGTGTTAACTCTTTCTTATCACATTATTAAATAATCAAGATTATTTTAGTCTTTCTAATATATTTTACCTAAAATCAAGACACATTTATTGAGCTTCTTAATCCTTGTGCAAAGCAAAAAATGACACTTAATATAGAACGGAGGGAGTTTATATTTATGAATAAAATAATTACAATTTACAATAAATAGATATTTAGGAATTTCATAGATGTTTTTTTTTTTAATTTCACATATTATTAAAAAAATTATAACATAATAAAGAAAAATAATATTAAAAATTGCTATTATAAAGGTACCATTTTTAAAAGCTGAAGTATCAACTCTCTCTCTCTCCATACATTCATTCTACCAGGTAATTCAAATCAAGCGCCGCCTTGGCAGGAATGATCGGAGGCGGAACAACACGGACAGTTCTCAAAACGGCGCAGAAAATCTTCGTAGCTCGGACGTGCATTTCTCTATCACTTAATGGAAAACAAAGGAACAGCCACGACTTTTGCACGTGCGCTGCCACTGCAAGTTCGAACAGCAGAAGCAGCATTGTGTCACGTGGCGAAATTTCTTATGTTTCAACTACTCGTACCGTTTCTAGTTCAATCTACGATTATAACGTTCGAATGGGGGAAGTGGGTCGAGGAGGAAACGTTGCTGCAGCGCGCAAGCTGTTTGACGATATGCCCGAACGAGATAAGGTGTCTTATGCTTCAATGATCAGTATTTATCTCAAGCACGACGAGTTTCATAAAGCTGAGAGGCTTTTCTGTGAAACTCCCGCGTGTATGAGAAGCATTGTGGCGAATTCTGCTATGGTTCATGCTTATGCAAAGGCTGGTCGAATTGATAGAGCGCAAGAGATATTTGATAAAATGCCTGAGAGAAATGCATTCTCTTGGACTAGTTTGATTTCAGGATATTTTAAACTAGGGAAAGTTGACAACGCTCTCGATCTTTTTCGGAAAATGCCTGAAGGAGACAAAAACGAGATTACATGGACAAATGTCATTTTGGGTTTGGCACGAAATGGGTTGGTTTTTGAAGCACGGGGCGCTTTTGATCGGATGCCCGTGAAAAATGTGGTAGCATGGACCTCAATGATCAAGGCATATGTGGAGAATTCTTTGGTTGACGAGGCATTTGAACTCTTTAAAGTGATGCCAATGCGTAATTTGTACTCTTGGAATATTATGATTTGTGGGTTTATGGATAAAAACAGAGTAAATGAAGCGAAGGAGCTGTTTGAATCTATGCCATGGAGGAACGCTGTTTCTTGGACTACTATGGTGACTGGACTTGCACGAAATGGGATGACTGTGTTAGCTAGGAAATACTTTGACCAAACTCCAAATAAGGATATTTCAGCATGGAATGCAATGATCACAGCTTATACCGGTGAAGGTCGTATGGTTGAGGCTGGCGAACTTTTTAAGTCGATGCCTAAAAGAAATATCGTCACTTGGAATGCAATAATTGACGGTTACTCCAAGGACCGGCAAGAGGATGAAGCCTTTCTTCACTTTGTTTCGATGCTTCGCAGCTGCATTAGCCCAAACGAGACCAGTCTTACAAGCTTACTAACTTCATGCACTGGTATTTTGGGTGTGCTGCAAGCGCATGGTCTCATCGTGCAACTTGGATTTGACACAGAAACATCACTTGCTAATACTTTGATTACCATGTGTTATAGAAGTGGTGATATCTCCTCAGCTCGGGTTGCTTTCGACAATCTCGAGGCGAAGGACATTGTGACTTGGACTGCAATGATATTAGCATATTCGATTCTTGGATTCGGCATACATGCATTGCAGGTATTTGCTCGGATGCTACGATCGGGACATAATCCGGACGGAATTACGTTTGTAGGAGTTTTGTCGGCCTGTAGTCATGCTGGCTTTGTTAAGAAAGGTCGAATGCTTTTTGACTCGATAAGGAGTGCTTATGGTTTAGAACTGATGCCGGAGCACTACTCTTGCCTTGTTGACATACTCGGAAGAGCAGGGCTTGTGAATGAGGCTATGAAAGTGGTCGATGAGATGCCGCCAGATAAATATGATGGTGTAGTTCTTGGGGCATTGCTTGGTGCTTGCAGATTGCATGGAGTTGATGAACTGGTCGATCAGATAGGTGATGAACTTATAGAGATTGAGCCAGCTAGTTCTGGTGGATACGTTCTATTGGCTAATGCCTATGCTGCATCTGGAAAATGGGACAAGTTTTCGGAATTAAGGAAAAAGATGAAGGACAGAGATGTAAAAAAGTTGCCTGGTTTAAGTCAAATTGACGTTAATGGCAAGAGTCATGTATTTTTGGCACGTGATAGATCTCATCCTGAAATGGAGGAAATGTACAAGTTGCTGCATGAAAAACTTCTCCCTCAAATGCAGGATTTTGGTTTTGACACAGCTGTGATATTGTAGTTTCGGAATGAAGAACTCTGTTACTCGACTAATGGACCGCGTTTCTAAAAACCGAGGCAGACAAGTTCTAGTAAATTAGTCTGTGGATGTGTTGTGATGGAATCATGAAAGAATTTGAATATTCATTTAATAATGGAAAGCAACGTGAGGCATACAGTACATACAAAACGAGAGGGTCCAGCAGCAGTATGAGCAAATCCGTTATAGCCGCAAACGACTCGGTAAGTGACAAGCACTCTTCAGTATCTCCATTTCACCAATTGTTTTTTTTTTTTTTTTTTTTTTTTTTTTTTAGCTTGTCATGTGGGCTACTTTGTTAATCCTTTGAAACTGAAGAAATTGTAGGTCAAGTAATAATTATTCAAAGATGAAAACATAGGTTGAAAATCAATAGTGCATGCATCAGACTATTTATCTGACAACCCAAATAAGAATGATAGAAATTTTGTATACGTATTTCACAACAAGGGATACGTATATACGTATATAGAATTGTTTGAACTATTTGCCTCTGCACTAGCTGATTTTGCTTGCGAAGCACATAGATTTATTTCTACCAAGCGAAGTTTATTACTTGCAATACAATATTGAGCCTCAACCGTAGGTGTATTTCCCCAGGATTTTATTTGAATAACCCAAACAAAGAACCTGCTTGATCAATTTCCTGACACGGAAATTTATTCGGAATGTGCTAGTTTTCGGATGAAATTTGTTACATCTTCAATCAACAGAGCAAACTCAGGCAATTCTTGAAATGAATAGAAACCATGAAATGCATTCGAATACTCAATCAACTCCACTTGTTTCCCACAGTTCTTCAACCCGTTAACATATCTTCTCTGCCAATCTTGCAGCGGATCATTCCCTCCCACAATCACCAAAACATTCGGAAATTCAAGATTCTCCAGTGCCGCCGCATCCTCAGCGCTCAATTCAGTGCCGCCAAACACATTAGCGGCAGGGTGGTTTCTGTCGGAGCCTTCAGGTAGAAAGTTCCTCCACAACAAATCTGTCATCTTCACATCAATAACCGGTGCACTTGCTAATCTCACCTCCGATTCTGTCCGCTCTTCTCCTCCAAAAAAGGGTTGCACCGATAAAATCCCAATGATTTTTATCTTCTCAAAGTGATTAGTTTTCTGGAAAGCTCTAATTGTCACATGATGAGCAATATTGCCACCTGCACTATCTCCGCCAATGAAGCATCTACTGAGGTCGGTATTGGCAGGTAAAACGGCGTAGTTTTGTGCATCGATGAATTTCAACGCGTCGAAACTGTCGTCGTATTGAGTAGGATACTTGTGCTCGGGGGTTAGACGGTAGTTCACGGAAGCGATGACAGCTGGCACTTTTGTAGCGAGATGGCTGCATAGGTCATCGAAGCTCTTTGTGTCGGGCCCATAAGTTGCTAAATCCTCCGCCGTGGTAGTAGACAATCAAAGGCAACGGCTTGTCTGAATGGCCACTTGGGGTGAATAAACGGAACCAGAGATTGCGTGAAGGGTCGATGGGGATATCGGTAGTGGAAATAGCAGTTTTGTCGATGAGTTTAGTGGCGGGAGCCGATGCTTTGATGTCTATGAGGCTGAATAAACGGCGGTTGATGGTGCCGTCACTGCGTGTGTAAACGCGTCTGGACAATCTTAACACATGAAGTTTGAATTTTGTTATCAATGGCAGATCAGAATTTGATGCCATGTTCTTTTTCTCTTATTCTTCTTTCTTTGGTGGGGAGATAATTCAGACCTGAATCTTGTACTTGTAAGAAATGTATGTGTGTGGATCTGATATAGGTGGAGGGTGTATGTAAGCTTCATGACAGGCTGGTTTTGTCTGTCTTTTCAATTCTAAATAGGACACGTGATAGTCATGTCTTAATAACTCAAAGATAGGAAATTACCAGATGAAGTTCGCCAAGCGTAGGCTTTGTATATTTTACGAATTTAAAGAAATCTAATCGGAGTTGCACCAAACTGCAAAGAAAGTGTAAAGACCCTGATCCAAATACCAGGCCAATAAAAAGAAATACATGGAAAACCTCGTAATCGAAAATGAAGTTTTTGTCCGAATAAATAGTCACCCACGCAACTCTTGTTTGGAAAGATATTCGTTCACTTCATTCATAAGCGACGGCCACTTCTTTTCAAGTAAACTGAAACTATCCAACTTCACAAGAACTGCAATAATTACCACCATACTTATCAGCAGCATACTTTTTTCGATATACCAGTTTACGAAAATTAACCAGAAATTTGCAATGAAAATGATTTTATTAACAAGTTGCTTTGTGTCGAGTGAGGTTATGCGTTTTAATCCATTCAGTCACAGTTACAGTGATTTATTTCTTGCAATTGGTAAAGAGAAAAAAGATACAAATAAAAAAAAAAAAAAATTTTTTTTTACCATCATAGTTATCAGCAGCATACTTAAAGCAGAGATGCTTCAACTCAGTTGCATTGTAATTCACCGCAAGTGAGAGAATCTCGGCAAATCGGTTAAGAGAAATACTCCTCCACAGGTGAGATTCGCATATAACTTTGAGACGCTTCACATCATATTTATCTGCTGCTGCTAGCAATTTGGCTCCGATTGTGTTCGACACAACTGGTCCAAAAGCATATCCACCCACCAAAGACCTCCTCTCGTTTTCTGGTAGAGTATCGGAATATATAAAGTGCAATAAAGCCTGCCAAAATTATATTCAAGATCAAATATTATTAATAAAAAAAAAAAAGAAAAAGAAAAAGGTTACTATTACCTTAAACACCCGAGGTTCCACGTCTGTAATGACCATTTCCCGTTGATCAGAAACAGCAAACATTGACTCGAAAACCGATGATCTTGCCGAGAGTATATCCTTGTGTGCGTGAAATTTCTCACCCCCGATACTAAAAACGACATCAGAATCTTCTTCCGCAGAACTAAACACGGCAAGAAAATCACCTCCTACACCACCATCATCATCATCAAAATCCCGTTTCGAAACATCATCAATAATGTCAGACGACGACGACGATGTCAGCACGACGTAAACTGTGCACTCAATCTTCAAACAGTCATCTTTCAGATAGGACGATTTTTCAAGAACCTCTCTATCGATAAAGCAAACGAAGCCCCTACGGGATTCTTTGCTAATAACACGTGGGACGTCGTCGAATTCGGTCCGATGAATCCCGTTTCCACTCTGGTCAAGGAGTGTCATTTTGACACAGAAAGAGACTCCATCGCAGTCGGTACTCATAGGACTTAGAAAAAGATCAAAGTAGACATGCCCTTGTTCGTATTTGTCTCCACCAAGAGTTTTGTCGTGCGATATTCCGTCAGGGTACACAGCAATAGCCCATTTGTATCCTCCGACAGTAAAAATATCGCTATGAATGAATTTTGACACAGTGAATATTTCTCCAATGTAAATCTATGGAGCCCTTTTACCATCTTTTTCTCCATTATAGTGTTCTTCGTGCAAAATTTACACAATTCACACGAATAAACGAATATCCTACAGATAGGAAACTTTTTATAAAAAAAAAAAAAAAATTTATATTCTAATCTTTCAAAATATCAATTATGCATGAACATTGCAGTTTAAACCAGGGATTTAACAGGTTCACAATGCAAGGTAAACCACAATAACATAATATTTCGGGGTCGACCAGACAAGTTATTAGGGATTCTAAGCATCAAATAAAGTCCGATTATTCAGTTAATCATGGCTAATCAATCTCCTCAACCAAATGAATTAGTTTAATCAGACCTAGCTAATTAATTAACATAAAAAGGGATTCATAACACATTGACAAATGTAAACCTGTTAAATATCAATATTATATTCTAATCTCTTAACCATTAGATTAACTTTATATTAATTACTTCGTAACGAACAGCACCTTCCCCCAAAACATTTCATTACAACAATCTGAGCTCTAATCAGAAAACTGTTATTTTGAACATTTTTTTTATTTCTCGATAAATAATTAGGAAATCCCTCCGCATATGACATCGGAGATAAATAAACAAACAAACAAAAATCAAGATTCAGAGATTAGTATACAAACCAAACACGCCGTATCTGTATAATATATAAATTGAAACCCTCAAAGCTTAGAAATCCGATATTTGGCATCCATGTCATCGACATGTGTGAATCTACATGGCATCCTACTCATTTTACACATGTCATTATTTATTACTTTGATATCTTCTATTTTTTTTTTATCATCATTAATTGATGATTAGGCTAAACTTGCCAAAAATGTTATCCGGATCATTAATTGGTATTTTAACATGAAAATAATATCTTATGTTGTAACAATTTACCAAATATATTTAAAATCTTTTCCATATTCCATAGTATCAACTTTAATCGTAATCAATTAATATCAATTAAAATATTTATCATATTAATTTAATATGTTAAATATTCAATTTTGATTTTCATAGAACGTGTTTAACTAATAATTGTCATTAATTCCGATTTATAGATCGTCGCCCATTATAGAATTTGATTTTTTTTAACTATATTTCCGGATTAAAAATCCTACAATTTCAATTCAAATAAAATTGAAAACTCAACCCAAAATAAAATAAATTATCCGGATTTGTGTATTAAGTGGTGTCAATTATTTTTATAGATAATTTGAATCAAATCAATTTACATTGGTTTTAAATATTTAGTAAGCTCTTCAATGCACATTCTATAATTACTAAACATTTAAAATATTTTCTTATAAAATCAAAATCAATGTTGTAAATTGTAATAATGAAATGGATGCTTATTTTAAAATTAATTATCCTCATTTTGTTCATAATGTTATTTACATCATATATATTATAAATATCAAAATCAAATCTTTTTTATTACAATCAAATTTCTGGATATTTATTTTCACAATGAATATAACAGGAATTGATTATTTTGTCAATTAGTCATCATTCACTAAGTGTAATTTAAATTAATTTCCTCAATTATCTTCTAAATATATGGCATTACATCTATCTTTCCTTCATAACATTTTTCTTTTACTTTTTTATTCTCCGAAAATTAGTATAAAAACCCTCCATCCTAACACATTCAATCACATTCATACTCTACACCCCATTTTTTGGAATCACACGAAAACACTATAGAGTCAACACAATATTTTTTTTCATATTTGTATTCAATTATAGAGATTTACGTTTATTTTTGTGTAATTATTATTTTAGTTCGTTCGATGCATATTATTTTTTCTATATTATTTTTTTCTTGACAGTAGTTAATGTATTGTCTTTGTATGTAGTTCTTGCGTTTTTTAATGTTAAATCCCATTCTAACAGTATTTGATTTATTATATTTTGATGTAGTTTTGTGTTGTTTGATGTTGATGTAAAAAATAAAAATAAAAAATAAGTAGTAATCCGGCCATAATAAAATATATATATATATAAATAAATAATAGTTTGCCGATAATAATAAAAAAAAAACCCTAAAATTACATAGTAGTCTTCCTATAATACAAATTAATTAACTAATGAATGAAATAAAAACAAAAGATTGTAATTAACAAAAAAAAAAAAAAAAATTGAACCGAATGACCTGTCCAGGAGCGGGTGAGGGGTTTGCACGCCTGGATTGGGCGCCCAAACATCTGGTCCACGCCTAAACTAAGTGTCCTCCCTCCATTTCCACGCTGAAAATATGCGTGTGAAAATCGTTGTCAAGCCCGTTATGGGAATGAAAACGATTTTCACATGCCCATTGGGGGTGGAAATCGTGCAACATCAACAAAATAAATCTCAAAAAACGCGGTTTTTTTGGGGTTTTCACATGATTAACACCAAATTAACCACAAATTAAACACATATAACTAATCTAGA